TATTTCCATACTGCATGATTGACTTTCCATGGTATTGAAATATGTTGGAAGACTTCCAAGGTATTTCCATACTGCATGATTGACTTTACATGGTACTGAAATACGTTGGAAGACTTTCAAAGTATTTCCATACTGCATGATTGACTTTACATGGTATTGAAATATGTTGGAAGACTTCCAAGGTATTTCCATACTGCCTGATTGACATTCCATGGTATTGAATTACGTTGAAAGCGGTGGCTGCCATCATATATTCATGCAAATGATGCGTGAAAAATGATGTGTACTTCCATGGCATAGAAGTGCTTACTTCCATGATATGTCCATGGCATTTGGACTTCAATACATGGTATGGAAATATGTGTATGGAAATATATATCGATACTTCCAACATATTTCCATTATTTGGAGTGCGCACGAATTTTCCGATTTTTCTATGATTTTCCGCTTCTCTCGTATTTTTCACTACACTACACTTTTATTTTTAGTACTCAATAAATGATGAATCTTGTTATATTTTCATTTCCGATTTTATGCCGACAAGAAGCCGACCTAAGGCTTAACTTTACGAACTTGCAGTCGAAGTCAGGAGGAAAACCGTAGAACACAGAAAAAACCCTTGAATCAAGGTAGATACCTAACAAATTCTACTAATATGTGATTTCAGAGATCGAATCCGACACCCGAGAGGTGAAAGGCGAGTGCACTACCCTTGATTCCCTAACGGAGGATTTCGTTCTTGACGACACCTACCTCACAGGCCAATAATTTTGATATCATTTTCTTTTCTTTCAAGAGTGAGTACTGAATACACCTTTAGCTGTTCATTTACAGGAAATATTCATTCGTGTCAATAGTTGTTTCATTTAAAAGGTGAATATACTTTCATTAACGCTAAAATAAACTTCATTTATTTCATACCTTTGCACGTCTGGTAGTCGACAAGTGTTCCAGATGGACATGGTACGATGACACATTTATGAACCTCGTTCAATATCATAGTCACAAGCGCCATCAAAGTACGGGATATCACAATATTCACAGGCATTCGTTTACAGAGAGCAGCATCTTCCATGGTATAATTCCCCAATACTGTCATATTATCAGGACTCCAGTCCATGACTACAGACATGTTGGAGATGGACACATCACTGCACATCATCATGAGAATCTGAAGAACGTTTTGTTTCCCTATCAATGAAACGCTAACTCCTTTGGACTGGGCTTTCGTTAACACAATGTCATTTTTCATGCTTTCCCTGCATTTGAACAAAGGATGAATACGACTTTTTGTAATATCGATGTATTGTCTCAAAGTCATGTTTATGGTCTCGCCTTTGGGTAGTGCATGGATGTCAGCGAGTTGTTGCTTCGTGATGCCCAGCAGTGTTGAGATATTTGCAAAGGACTTTGGTATGATGTGAGGAACAAGCATTGACCACTTGGACGGAAGAAGTAGCATATTGTCATGCTTTATACATTCATACCCAGCTACAAATGAGACATTTTGAGGGTCTAAATATGTTGAACCACCAAGATGACTAAGGAAAGTCTTCAAGATGTCATTGGTAGGAATATTCCATTGACCGCACGTCTCGGAGGCTGACAAGGCAAAGATGCTTGATGCTTGTGCAACTAGTGTGTTATGGAGGGCACTGAGCTTTGAGGTAAAATGTGCTTTACTCGATACAATTTTGTCAGTGACGTCAGCCATCGTGAGATTTTTCATTTGTTGAACTGTGGTAGAGGTAACGCCTGCTAAGTGGTTCAAACTCACAGCAGCAACTATTGGCCAATCAGATCCTTTAACTTTTAATCCCCAAGCGATCTTTTCGAATGGCAAATTAACGAACATTTCGATGTTGGTAAGTAGAGGCGTTGTCTCATTGAGTGTCACATTGAATTTTGCAGTAACTTGGTTGATGTTTAGCAGCGTAAATGCTACAAGCAAGGCAATGTTACGACAAGATGACACATCATTTTGACCAATCATTGCTGTCAACAGTTGATATGGAGTTTTGCTTTTAAGACTGGCTTCTGATAACCCACAAGA